CACAGAAGGACAGAAACAAACAAATGGAACTGCTCCTCATGAACAACAGCATTCCCTTTTCCCAGCTTAAAGCACCCGAGGAACCCCAGCAGCATCACTGATGGAGTACCACACTGGCACACAGCTCAGAAAAGAAGGTAAACAATCCAAGTGTCCAAAGCTACAGCTTGTGAAACCTCTTATTTAGCTCCAAGCATGTCACACTAGGAACAAGAGACAGTCTTCCCTCCATCCTCCACTCCACAATTAACATTTCAACAATCTCAACAATTAACATTTCTCTTAGAAACAATCTGCTGCAACACAGCCAGTTTTTCTCCCTGACCACTGCTGACAGCGCTGCTGTGTGGATTATTAACAAATGTATTGATCGATTTTATTTAAATTTTTAACAATCCTGTAAGACTATAAATAAGGAATTGAATTCTTTTATGTTTTTCTCTATTGAAAATATTTGGGGTTTTTTCAATTAGCAAATGCTTTATACATTATGTACAGTAACTAACTAGTCATCTTGATTCATTTTTAAACAATTCTGCAAAACCACTGTTTTTCTGCAATAGAAAAGAATGTTTCAACTGTGGTTTAATTTTCTCTTTTTTTTTTTTTTTCTCAAGGCGTGGATTCACAGTGGGGGGGATAAACAAAGCATGTTTTCAGGACACATTCTGACCTTGGGTGTAAAGAAACCCAAAAACTAAAAAAAAAAAAACCAACTGCAAGAGTGCATGACCACAAATATTATTCAATGCCTTCCACGAAATCAAGGAACTGCATCTGAAATGTTGGTAAAGGGGAAAAGGCACTGGGAACACAGGAAATACAGAATCAAATCCAAATACCCTCAGTAGATTACACAACACTGGCATGTTGGGCCAAATGATTGCCATCCTAATTAGCTAACAAGCAATTCTCCAGGTGTAAAGAATGATTTCATACCCTTCTGCAGAAAGCTAATGCTCCAGAGAATCCTCACAAGGAATTATAGGAAATCAGGAAGCAGACTCTAATTTTCAAAGCTTTCAACATAAACAGCTAGAACACTTCAGATTTGCTAACATCAACTTGAAGCCAGAATCATCACTAATTTATGAAAGTTGTAGGCTACTGAAATACAAGGGAATTTTAAAGACAGACACCCAGTGGGTTTGAAAAGCTAAAAGTCGATGTGGTAGAACCACTCTAGGCACTGAAAAATAGAGTAATTAATGTGTTTACACCACTACTTGAAGAGCTCATGAAAAGATGTATCCTACACTATCCTGTGATAGATGCTGAACAGATTATTTTAAGTGATATCCAAAGCATATTCGGTTCTGTGCCATGGCAAAATACAATGCACAAAAGAGGCACAGCAGATTAAGCAAGATTTAGACAACATCAGATGCTGGACAGAAGTGGACACATACTTTGGCGAGATGCAGGACTTGCAGTTTTCAAGGTACTGCAGGTTAGGGGAGGCTGGAGAAGGCTCTTTGTAAATCTTTGAGGAAAGAAGCAAAGCTAATCTCAACCAGTATCAACACATTTCCAGCCAGCCACACGATGTTTGTTGAGAATATTGTGGGCTGCAAAGCTCTGGAGTCTTACTAAGAAAGATGATTAAAATATCCTGAATTTCTTCTGGCCACCAGCTCATCAGGTAGAACAAAGAACTGATTGCTCCAGCTGTCAGTACTGAAGACAACATTCAAATAATGAACACATAGCACTTCAGGCATCTACTCAGCTCTAAGCTTTGGTCAGAAGCATTTCCCAAAGCAGGGCAGGTTTCAGAAGCTTGTCTGCTCTAACCTGCCCCTTCAGCAAAATCCACTGTAAAGGTGAACCAGGATAATCAGAAAGCTCCAGCAGACAAGTAACGAGGTAGGACAAAACCTGGCATTAGTTGTGACAGAGAAACTCAGATTAAATATTTAGACTTTCTGTAAGGGGTGACAGCCTGCTGTTCGCTGCCTCTAGTCATCAAAGCACAAAAGCAGCACCAACAAAAAGGAACTTACAAGTCAGATTCCCTGGGAATGCAAGCACAGTGACATTGCATCCTAATTAAAAAATGCAGTTCAAAGGACATATGCTCATAATGCAAACACCACATATCATGGAAATCCATACCTGTCAAGTGAGCTTCTTGCAAAGCAGTGCAGAGATCAGTCACAATTCAGCCACACAAAGTAGCTTTATAAATTACCATCACTGAAATGTTACCAAACTGACACTGATTAAAGCACAGCTAAGAGACATCCTTTGCAATACAGTCTCAACATTAACATAGCAGGTCAGGATTGAAGCTTCTCTTAATGAGCAAATAAAAAGGAAAAAAAAAATAGAGTAGTCACAGGAAGCTGATGATATTCCTAACTATAGAACCATAAACAACAGATATCCAGTGACTATCCTGCAAGATTTAACTTTATAATTCCCAAAGGGAACATGATGATAAAACAGCTATTTGACATTGGAAGACTGAAAAGCAAGAGGCAGATGACTCCCAACTCCCCCTCTGTACTAGGATTCACCGTGTGAAATCTGCCAAGGTCTGCCCACAAAAAGCTCAGTGGGTTGAGCAACTTCTCCCACCAATTCTCCAAGCAGAATCCTGGCTATCACTGCAGGAAAGAGGAGCAGAACCCAACTCCTTGCCACTACTGCTGGCCCCACGGCCTGTGGGCCAGCAATACACAGAGCAGACAGACACAGGGCTTCCTCACACTCAGCACCAGGGATGAGATGAAGAGGATCAGAGCATCAAACAGATTTCCTGAAGAAATAAGTGAAGTCTATACCTGTGGCTGCACCCAGCAGTAACAACACACCTCAGTGAGCAAGAAAATTCTCACACAGTTTTTCACATCTGAAATGAATTATAAATTAGCTTCTGATCTTATACATATAAAGATACGTACTTTTATTGATAAGCAAGAGCACCAGGCCAAGATTTGAACAACACTGCTAAAGCAAAGCTGTGCTGAAAGAAATTGGCTCATAATGAGCTTTTGATTTCTGTGTGTGCACACAGGACAAAGGAGCCCCAGCCTCAAGAACACAAGCTATGAAAACACACAGTTTATAACAAAGTGACAGAAAAACCAACAGGGATGACATCTGTTACTAATTTAACAAGTCATATCATCCACACATCAGCTGTTCACCATTTGCAAGAGCAATTGTGCCTTAAAGGAAAACTGGGCTTCAAGAAGGAATCTAATGTGTGATATGAGAGCTGCTCCACCTTGTTGTCCTTCTTAACCCCCACCTTCCCTGGCATTAACACACTGGGCAAAAGCACCTACACAAATGTGCTGGAAACACATCCAAGAGCAGCCTCAGACAGCACCATTGGCACAGACAAGATGTACAACGAGGTTTTGAGACAGAAATGGCACGAATTAAGAGGGAATATTCAAACGTTGTTGGCAGGAAATCTGTGTGTCTTAAAAAGAAAATCTCTGATACCTTGCAAGAGACCCAGTCAAAGTCACACTGACAGACCTGCAGGATGCACACAGTGGAACATCTTCCTTAATTACAGAGCAATGGAGAAAGGAAGGGGAAAAAAAAATCAAGCAGTTCCTTTTGACTGTACTCGTGCTCAAGCTACAGGAATTCAAGGCAACCTACACACGATGATGCAGAGGCACGTTTTTTTAGCTCACATAAAAGATAACAGATGTGAACTATCAGCTTATGGACTGTGAATAGTGTGATAGCTGATGACTGGGATTGTATTTCTGGGACATCTAATTCAATAGGAAACCCAGGAGAGAGAGAGGGAGTGTATTCCAGGGAAAGGATCAACAAAGCTGAAGGAAGAGAGGTAAGTACTCTTTAAATGAATCACAGCAGATGATTCACAAGGAATACAGGCAAACAGAAGTGAGGAGAACACCAAGGACAGTCAAAAAGGCTACTGAGAAACCAGATTTTAAGCATGTACTCAAATTTGTAAGAGGCAGCCAACAACAAAGAACAAAAAGATACAATGCTCAACCACTACTTCGGACAAAGAAGCCCCACAAGTGACAGGAACAAACCTGGGAGAGGTCTATGATGGAGCTGGATCCCAGTTCTGAAAGAAAAGAGTTCTAAAGTGACACAGTGGATGGGATCAGAGATAAACAGGAAAAAGATGCAGAAGCAATAGCTAGAAACAAAAGTGAATTTAAAGGAAAAAAAAAGAAACAGGCAACTGCAACACATAATTGTGCTATGACAGATTTATCACACAAGCAATTGGTATTTTCTGCAAATAAAACATGCTGACGTAGAAAAAAAAATATGACAAAGATACCGAACTCATTACGAAATCGTTTGAGTGGGTAAATCACTGCTCATGGATTATGTAAAATAAGTGTGCTCGGGAATTATACGACGGCTGTCAGGCAGTCCTGAGCAACGAAACTGCCTCTGCACAGGCCTCGCAGTGAAGGCAGGTCCTACCAGTAAACGATACATGACGAAAAGCATCAATTTAAGCCGCGTCCAGCGCGCTCATTGACCCCTCACGGATCGGAGCGGCCGCGGGGGCTGAGGGGTGGAGGGGGCGGGTAAATCCGTCTGCGGCGTTTCTGGGGTGAAAAACCTTCAGCACGCGGTCAGCGAGGCTGCCCGGGGAGGTCGCGGGGTCTCCCCCTCTGGAGACATCCCGGACCCACCTGGACGCGCTCCTGTGCCACCTGCTCCGGCCGGCCCTGCCCGGGCGGGGGGTTCGGGCAGGGGGACTGCCTTCCGACCCTGCGGGTTCTGTGGTTCTGCGGCAGGGGTTCCCCGCGGCGAAGGGTCCCACACGCCCCGGCTGTGCCCCCTCAGCCACCCCCTCCCTCCCTCCCTCGCTCACTCACCGGCCGAGCCGCGTCCGCTCCCGCCGCCCCGCCAGGCCCGGCGCACCCGCCGCCACCTCTCGCGAGAGCCGCCCCCGTTGCCGCGGAGGAGGCGCCGGCGGAGGCGCCCGGATCTCGCGAGAGCCGCGGGACGCCGTTGCCAAGGGAGCGGCGCGCGGCACTCCCTGAGGGGGCGGGGTGGGGGGGAAGAGAAGTGGGAGAATAAACTCCCGCGTGGATAAAAACCGACAGGGGAAAAAAAAAAAACCACAACAAAACAACCGACACAACAAAACAAACACCGGACGAGTGAAACGTTAACAAAGCACAAATCACCGCAAACAGGAACAGAATAAAACACACTGATAGAAACGTGATAAATCCTCCCCGCCGAGCGTAGGGGGCGGCCGGTGTGAGGGGCCGGGGCGGTGCTGGAGGGCGAGCGCCGCCCGCCGGCGGTGGAGAACGGCGGGGGTGTGGAGCCGGGATCTCCTTGTGGAGCCGGGATCTCCTTGTGGAGCCGGGATCTCCTTGTGGAGCCGGGATCTCCCCTAAGGAGTCTGGAACAACCCGTAGAGCCGGGATCTCCGTTGTGGAGCCAGGATCTCTGAGGAGCCAGACTCTCCTCTGAGGAGCCGGGATCTCCCCCGTGGAACCGGGATCTCCCTGCAAAGCCGGGATCTCCCTGTGGAGCAGCACTGAGGGGATGATAGTGGCGCAGGTATCACATAATAGAGTTTATCTAGGCGAGCTGGCACCTGATATCTCAAGCTTCATCCTAAAACCCATTCCTGATTTAAATTACAACTGCGTGTTTGTACAGCCCTATAAGTTGTATAGATTCTGTGTAATCTGCAGTCTATTTAGGAATATAATGTAGTGGACGTGGCTCTCGTTCCATAATACCCCAGCAGAACTACCATGTCCCACATCTTAGGTAACTTCAGTGCACTGAAGTGTCACAGGTGTTGAGAGGACACTGAACCCTTCGCAATCCTCATGAGATGGAGGAGGCAGAATAAACCAACACCGAGCACCAGCTGTATTCAGATAGCTGAAGGATGAGATTCAGATTAAAAAGAACATTTGTCTCTCTTCTGAGATGTCTTCTACTGCATCGTTATTAAGGATCATATATTAAGCAGGGCTTGACTTCCATATCAGGTGAAAGGATTGTAGAACTCCAGATAATCAGTATATTGAAGCAAATTTGAATTAGTGGGCAGTTTGGGAGGAGAAAGACAAGGAGCAAACTTCTGCTCAACCTTTTGAATGTCTGTCTGTTCTCTGTGCACTGTGGGAAGCCAGTCCTGTTGCACAGGGGATATTTTGGGGAAGCCCCACTCTGAAGACCAACCACCATATATGGGGTCTTACCAGAATCTCTTAAGACAGATCTTAAGAGATTTGGACCAGATTTTCCAGGAAAAACATGTGGGTAAGAGGGAACATGAATCTATATCCTACTGATGAGTATATCCACTTTGAGCAGGGGTTCTGATTTAACAGCTGGTGGAGGAACTTGATTAATTTGTTGTCAGATTCCAGAGCCTGGAACTGTACAGCCAATGCTTTTGGTATATTTTAGATCCTCCTCTTTCAGGGACACCTAGGAGTTTTGATCTCAGGATTCAGTGAGTATACACCTCTGGACTTGCCTGAGGTGTACATTGAGATCTGCATTAGCAGATCTCACTGCTTCAGACAGGGAACATCAGACAGACAAGCTGTATTCCTCATGCTCTTTGGGGAGAGGAGGGGAAGAGGGGGCAAGAGAGCAAGGATTTGTGCCTTTGCTACACCAAAACAACCCACAAAGAACAGAAGCTTTGCTACAATATACAGCAAAACATGGATCTGTTAAATGAATTCTCTTTTTCCATCCTTTAACAATGGCCACAGAGATAAACCACACAGTTCTAGAAATCCAGCAGCAGAACAATGAGGGCCAAGCAGCTCTCACAAAAGCTGTCAGAATGTGCTAACAAGGCAAGGAGTCAGATGCCACACGTTTAGCAGTGAACTAAGCAACATGAAACAGTAGCATTTACAGCAGCCAAAGTCAGAAGCAGCTTAGAAAGCCAAATCACAGGCAGTTAAATCTCCAGGGGTAGGATCTGACAAATTATCTTGTTTTTATTTGACTTCATGTGATTCTGGCTTTGTCAATTTTTCATTGTTTTTTTTTTTCACTTACTACTGTTTTACTCCCCCTGATGATGGATATTGAAATTAGTGGGTTTTTGTTTCAGTGAGTCACCAGTGAGAGATGTGATTATCTCTCTTTTCAGTGAGAATTTTATAAAAACCAGGTGTGTACAACAGATGTGTGTCTGCATGGGATAGGTCTTCGAGCACACAGGTCTTGGCAAAAAGCCCTTGTCAGATTATAAAGCAAGGCGATCCTCCCTCTCTGCTCGGCCCTAGTATGGCCACACCTCGAGTGTGATGTCCAGTTCTGGGCTCCTCAGCACAAGAAAGACAAGGAGCTGCTGGAGAGAGTCCAGTGGAGGCCACAAAGACAAGTAGGGGTCTGGAACATCTCTCCTATGAGGAGAGACTGTGGCAGCTGGGCCTGTTTAGTCTGGAGAAGACTGAGAAGGGATCTCCTTAATGCATATAAATCTCAAAGGCGGTGCTGAGAGGATGTTGCCAGACTTTTTCCAGTGGTGCCCAATGACAGGATGAGGAGCAATGGCCAAAAACTGAAACACAAGAAGTTTCACCTCAACATGAGGAAGAACTTCTTTCCAATGAGGCTGGCAGAGCACTGGAACAGGCTGCCCAGGGAGATTGTGGAGTCTCCCTCTCTGGACACATTCAGAACCCACCTGGACACGTTCCTGTGTCACCTGCTCTGGGTGACTCTGCCTTGGCAGGAGTTGGACTGGATGAGGTCCCTTCCAACCCTGATGATTCTGTGACTGTGATTCTGTTTCCTCCCTCAAAAGGAAGAATGTGCACAGAAACCACATACCTCAGGGAGCAAAGAGGCCTTCTAGAGACACCTCATTTTTGGAAGGTTGATCCTGTGGACGTGAAGGGTTGTGGATCCAACACTTTTTTAACTTCATTTCACTCTGAGGGGTGCTCTGAAGTCTCCTCTGAGTCTGTTGTGAAGTGCTGGCTCACTTAGTGATTTACACTGTTTGCATGCAAGTACACAACCTGGCACACACTTAAGGCACATTCCAGCGTGGGAAGAGAACTCAAGCATCCCCAAGAGAATGCCAATGTCTCCTCCAGTGACATTTCCTGGAGATGAGATTTTGGCTCACAGTGGCTCAAAGCTCCATATTCAGCCACGGGCAAACTCAATTCTTTGCCTCTTTCCTCGTTCTCTCAGAAAGATGGGTAGGCTGTACCATTTATCTCTCCATACTGTTCACTTGACATACCTTTATGATGCCTCTTGATTCATTTCTTTTCTGACTGACATCATTACCATTTATTATCATATGTAAGTGTTTCAGTGGCCCTGTTATTTCTTACCATCCTCTTTCTAGTCCCCTTAATCTGTGAAAGAGAGATGACCAAAATTGCATGTTTGTCCAGGTGAAGATGAATTTTTTGGTATCAAGGTATTTTTTATAACATCCTCTCCCCCACTCTGAACCTTTTTCTGTTCTAACTGCTGCTACACTGATCAAAGGTTTAAGCTGAAAAGCCGTATCAAATCTGTTTTCTAGATAATTAGTAAGTAATTTCATTCAAATTACATCTTATTTCTGGTGGGCATTACCCAGCACTAATTAATATGCCACTGTGCTGTCTTTAGTCCTGAAGAGTTATATTGTAAGTGTACAGAAAGTTTAAATAGTTGTGTAAGCATCTTTCATCTACTGGATAGCTGAAGATTTGGAAGAATAAGTTATTTAGAAAATAGAGTTCTTTGTTTAGATCAAAATGCGAAAGTTTATGATTTTGGCACTTGAAGATAACGTAGTTTCTGAACGTGTCATTATTGTAGAGGGGACACGAATAGGCTTGTGCTTGGCAAATACCTTTTGTTTAACCACCAAAATGATTTTGTGTGCAGGAAAGATGAAAGCAAAAATAAAAATTGCTCTCATCATTATTTTTGTATTTATATTGCTGTAATAAAATAAAATGGCTTAATAGTCCCAAATGCTAAATTATATCAGAATAGTCACAGGTCAGTCAGGTATTATGCTTTAATGTAATGTCCAAGAGCTTTTGGTCCACTTTATTTGGTAATACATAAGTGAGACATAGGTACAAAAATGCAATTTTCTTTATTTAAGTTAGCACAGATGTCTGATAAAAGAATAAATAGAAAGTGCACTTTAAGGCCTCGATTCTACAACCAGACAAGTGGCAGGGAGCCCTTGCCCTGACACCCCATCTGCTCATAGCACCAGGGCCTTTACATTGATAGAGGTACAGCCAAGATGATGAACTACAGCTCACTAGTTACAAGTCTCTAGCCTTCAGCAGATTGAATTTATATGTGTAATGATTGAGGAGGTTTTTACCGGGCTCCCCAAGGCGTGCTAGACATCAAACAAACAAATAAGGATCAACAGGGGAACATAAATGCAGCCACTTCGGCTCAGAGCAGCAACTCAACCGGGTTTGAGCTCTGGCAGGTTTGGAGGCACCCACCATTCTTCCTGCTGAGAAAACTTCCTGATTCTTCAGAACTGACTGAGGATCCTAAACACATCTGTGCATATGCCATGCAAAATAATTTTGTAGTTGCTGCTTTTTATATTACTGTCATAATTGATTTTTTTCCCATCCATTTCTTTCTGAGCCTTGCTTAGGGTTTGAATGTATTAGAGATCATGGTTCCTCTCCCAGCATGATTTCTGCATGTTAATGTTTCTCCTTTTGGAGACTTGGAAACCTGAGATCCTAATTCTACAAAAAAAATTGCGTATGGAAATGAGTGATTTTATTTATGAGAGCCACTGCTCTCACAAACAAAAATTACTTACACATGAGGCCTAACACATCATACAGGAATTCAGAGATATATAGTTTATAGAGAAAATGAGGGACAAAAAAATTATATTGCAAGATTTTTGTTTCGGTTGTAATTGTCTGGTATAGAATCATTTCCCAGTTCCATAGTTAGGGCTGTGCTTACATACATGCTACCATCTCTGCTCCCACTGTTTCTGCAGTTAATTATAGGTTGTAATTTTTTGGAGAAGAGGAAGGTAATCAAACCTTCCCTTCGATTCAGTATTTTGCAAAATTAAACTTTCATATCTCACATTTGGTTTTAATTTTATCCCATTCTACTTATAAGCTTTGTCTTCCTACTTTATTTTATTTTATATTTGCACTCTTTAATCCTGAGTTATTATCATGCAGCTTTTGCTATGTAATTAATGTTCATCTGATTTTAGGCCTCCTTCTGAAAATCAAAGTGGGTTTAAGTTTACATATTTTCATTAGTACAAAGTCAAACAGAATTTAACTCTAGGCAAAAGGGTGCCCCATTCTGCAGACAGACTCCACTGACTTTATTCACTGCTGGTTAGCAGCACAAGCAGTCCTAGTGATTACCTACCAGTGCTGCCCATGTAAGAGTTGTAGAACAGGTCTTAAATGATTTTTCAACTTTCTTGCTCTTTTGAGCTTCTTTCTGTCTTTTATGCTGGCAATTTATAAGATACATTAGCCAAAAGATACCCAGAAATTAGCAGCAGTGGTCCTGGGTAGACTGTAAACACATTTTATTATTTGTTTGTGAGATGTCTAACTCAACCTTGAGCGGAGCCTTCGACCCCTCCCGCAGTTTGAATAAATAACAATGAAATGCCCTACTGGATCAGTGATATACAGACACGTGCTCACGTGGACAGACACAGTGCTCTGGCCTTTTTCCTTATGGCTTTGTTTTAAAGAGGACATCCATGTAAGCTTTGTCCAGATCCACCGATTTCTTCTGCACTGCTGCCCGCAGGTGCTCGGGGAGCAGCCTCCGGCCCAGGACAATGTCATCCTTGTTGCGAGGCCTCTGGGTCCGGGCGTCCTCCAGGGCGCTGTGCACGTCCTGCAGCTTCAGCTGGAGCCAGTCCTGCCTCTCCACGGCGTGTCGGTGCTCCCCAAGGTTGTGCATCAACTGCATCTCACTCACTGATCTTTTCCTGCGGGAAACAAGAGCAAAGAGAGAGGCTCGTGGTGGCCCTTCTTGAATTCCTGATCCTCACTCAAAGACCTGGGCTTGGGAACTTTTGTGAGCTACCACAATGCAGAGCTGTCAAAGCTGCCTCTCTGATTTGTAAGGGATAGAAAAATGCTGTTCCAGACTCCCTAGTTTGCAGGTGTCTGGGTGTCTTTCTGGGGAATTTTTAAATTTTATTTAAAATGTGGTTAGCAAGCCTAGTTGCCACCTAGCATAATGGCTGAAAATTTTGGTTTATATGCTATTTTTTTTCAGTCAAGGGCTGGTAAGAAAATCAGTCAAGTGGCTTAGAATGAGAGAAGCAGAAGGTAAAATAACAACATGATTAAAGAGTCCAGTAAATCAAAACCTCCCACCCAAATATTCAGTTATAGCATTAATATCTGTCATGGTACCAGTAGGATGGTAACAAATTCTATGCTGAATCACTAATTACAAAAAGCCCACAAAAGAAAACAAAGTAACTAGAATTTGTATTTGAACAAGTGAAAGTCAAATCAATTTGACTGAATCTTTCAAAAAACAGATTTTGCTTGGTTTGTTACCTGGACAAGAGAGGGAGGGTGGATGGTGAAATATTAGTAAGAAGGCATAAAAAATGGGAATAGTTACGTTTTGTGACAATCCTGTTTGACTGTGTATTTGTAATTTATTTTAGCTGTTGTAAATCAGCTTAGGGCTTATATGGTATTAGGTCAATTAGATCAACCAAACTATGGCATTTATTCAGTGGCAGTTTTCTGTGATCACCAGAGCTAAGGAAAAATGATTCCCTGTGGATTTGACTCTCAGTTGCTTGCTGTTGGTGTCTAAGTGTGAGTTCCAGCTAGAACCTCACCCGGTACAAAAGATGCCTTCCTGTGTGGACCCCCAAGGGATGCAGCTTACCCAATGATATTCCTAAGAGAAGACTTAAAGAACAGCCAAAGCCCTCCTGTGTAAAACAATGTACTTACACCATTGGTCTCCCATCAGAGTTTGTAAGAAAGCATATGGTGTATAAGAGGATTGCAGTCCGGGCCAGGGTTTTTATAGAAGTCATTTTGTCTACAAAGATAGAAATGAAGACGTGTGTAAATCTGTGTTTCAAGTAATTTCTCTTAAATCCGAAGAAAGACATCATTTTTGAAAAAATAGCTTTTTTGTGAAATGGGTTAGGAATGCAAATGAAGAATTTAGTTCCAAGCCTAGTTTTGTTAGCAACTTACCTCCTAAGCAACTCTATAAACTTTGTTCAGCCTTAGATGCCCTCCATCATGATCATCATCAGTCATCATCATCATCATCCTCTAGGTGCCTATCTCTTGCATAACTGGGTGAAAAGCACCATGTTCTTCCAATATTATTACTACTACTACTATTATTACTACTTTATAGCCTTCAAGTACTGTGGAATACTTGTATATAACTATGCAAGTAAAAACTTCTGTTATTTTATCTATTTCTTTTGCATATTCTTTAGAATGAAGAGGCTGAAACTTGACAATTTTGCAGAGAGGCATAACTCTACTGAGTTCTGTCATTCCCTGTTTAGTTGCATAAGAGAAATCAAAATTTAGCCCCTCGTTTTTTTCAGGGATAATCCTGCATTGCCAGTATGAATTCCCCTCTGATTTGCACATCATCAGCAAAACTGCCATTTGAAATATATTTGGAAAATATTTATTGCTGATGATGCTACAACAGGCAGAAATGACAGAGTTCCGTATCAGTTTCCAGTTTGGATTTTCAGTATTGGCAGTCAGAAAAGGCATCTTTTTGTTACAGCTTAAGAAACTTGATACAGAATAACTGAAAGTTAAGAAATATAAAACTCCACAGTACCATTTTTGCAATAGTTTCTGCAGCTTTACTCCAGGTCAGAAAAGCATTTATAACATGGGCTCTTACATGACAGTATGACTGTGGTCCTGGCAGTCCATCTAACCCGATATTATAAATTCAGGACATGAATTCACTTCAAGTTATTTCTAACTCACTGCCTCAGATTTTTTTCACTTCACAGATTTGGTTCAGATAATATAACACTTTGATTTTACTAACACTCACCTTTTTTTAAGAGATTCAGAAAGAAACGAACGTAAAATGAATAAAGAATCAATGATAAAATGTTCTAAATAAGTCTTCCAGAGAACTTGGAAAGAAAAAGTAGAGTGTACTTACCAGATAGAATGTTAAAGAGATTTCTGGTTTGGGTATGTCGGCAGATGACTGTCTCTTGATGTCAAGTATATTTAAAGACTACTGAATTGGTTTAGTGGACCCCTTAAATGTAACTTTAAAATAGAGCTTCTAAGTAACTTGGAAGCCCTTTTATTGTCTCAGTTGATGTCACTCTCTCGACACACACCCTCCTCCTGACCCTCATGCACCCACCCTCGGATGCTTTTGTTAATTTAGCATTTACAGGGAAAGAGGTCTCAGCAAAAAGAAAGTCCTGGGTAGCTGTGAAGAAGGTAAATGAGGCTGCAAGGTCAGTGATCTACAGATGCCAAATTAAAACAAAATATTGAAAAGCTAAGATCTGTAATGCCCGTGGGAAATAAGTCATTTCAGGCCAGCTAGAAGGTTTCTTTGTAAAAGAATATACTGGAGAGGAGCAGAAGCCCCAAGAATGATTGAGGATCCTCTTTTTAAAAAGAAGCTGGTGCCACTGAAAAGTTGTTCAAATAGTCTGTTCCACCTGCCCCTGTGAATATCCCTGAACACCTCAAATGTGCTAGGTAGAATGAAGGCATTTGAAGCAGCTGTGATACAAATTAGTACTTTATGAATCTTGGAAAAGAGTTATAGGGCTCTGCCTACGTTCTAAGAAGGGAAATGTGTAAATCAGAGGTACTTTCCCATATGCATGAAGAAAGATTATTTTTGGCTGCAAGATGTTTTTCCTATATTAGGCGCTTCTTCTGAGTTCCAGTGTATTTTTCCAGAAAAAAACCCCAAAAACCCACAAACAAAAGCCAGTTTGCATCTGCACATTTTAACACACAATTTGGAAGATATTATTGCTTCTACCACGAATGCTTTATGTTTATTTTATATTCTCCTGGCATTTCATAAAGAGATAAAAAAATACACTTTATAATACTGCTTTGCGTAGATGTTGTTCTCATGGGAAAAAGAAGGGAAGAACCAGGAACTCCAAAAAAGCTCTGGAGATCTCATGGTTCCCTTAGTAAATAAAAAAGTGAGTAACTGAGAAGTAATGAAGTCATTCACTTAGACAAGTTCAAGAAAACAGGGTAAAGATAGTTTCCAGCATTGTACTGTCAGGTGTCAATACCCTTTCCCCCTACACACAAATGCAGGGGCTTTATGGGAATATGTTTTATTAGATTTGTGTCTCTTGTGACCACCAGGGATACTAACCTGAAGGCAAAAATGTGACTAAATTATTACAAAGGGATATTCATAGTTATAATGTGAATAAAAATGGACATGGCATAACAGGAAAGGATTTGAAAGTGGCAATGAAAAGCTCCATGTTTTAGATTTTACCACAATATGTGTGAAACCTTTAGCAAAACCCTCAAGGCAGGTTTTTTTACAGAGGCCTGGCATTCCTATGGAACCTTTAGCATGGGATGAACTAAAGGACGAGGGTTAGAAAATCCAGTGTCTGTATACAGAACAAAAAATCACGATTTCTCGTAAACTGGCAACAACTGATAGCAAAAGCTGGCAATAAACCATTAGCAGCAATTGCAAAAGGAGTGTTAGCAGACTTGAGTTGCCCATGTTACTCTCTGAGTTGCAGTTGTGCCCCCTGCAACACCCAAGTAAATCTGGTAGAGACCCCAGGCTGGAGCTCTGAATAAAACTAATACAGAGGAAACACCAGAGTATGATGTTGTAATTGAGAATCCTGACTTCAGACAACCTATGGTGTGTCAGTATGGATGCCCTTAAACAAGATGTAATTTTAGCTGGTTTATTTGCAGCATGCATACTCCTTAAAGCAACTCTGATATATTTTTATTGTCATTTTTATTCAAAGGTATTGACAGGTTGTACCTAAAATCTCGAACAAAGATGGATTAACTTGATACTTAAAAAAAAAGCAGTTTGCCTCAGATGAGTGAAGATGTAAAAATTAAAAAACATTAAATACGGGCCCCATTATATGTAAAAAATAAAAACTGTGATGGCAATTAAAGAAACTTCACATTGCAGCTCAAAATTTGCATGACTCTATATGCAGGGGATAAAAAATAACTTATTTTGATTTGGATTATTATCCCCGGTATCTAGAAATTATGTTATTTGAAAATATAGCTGCTAGTAACTTGCCCAATTTCATCCATATTTGCTAACCTTGGCATATCAAGTGTGTAAATGACAGATAGTGGACCAAGTGAATGTATTTTATTTACCAAATATTTTAATTGTGTACACTTCTGTTTGGACACCGTATCCACTGTTTAATGCTGAGCTGAAAATGGTATTGAGCTCTTTTAATGTTTCAGGCAGATGATGATTCATGTTCAGATTCAATTTTTTCTCTTTCTTAAGGATCCTTTTAAAAATTCATATCTCTTTTGGGGACTACTTAATAGAAGAGCTGAACCCAGGAAACCAGGGCTAACAACTGCTGAACTGCTGTTCAGTAGGAGGCCTAAGACTACCCAAATATAGACACTGCCATGAAAAAGAAAGAAAAAATAAACATTATCCCCTCAATTAAAAGGCATTTCACGATCCTTTGTAGGTATAAGACCTTGCACACAAATACAAAGGCAAAATATGGAAAATCCTGCAGTTTCTTAGGAACTTTTGGTGCCTACAAATGAGGACTGACCTACAGAAGACAGCTTTTACTCCTCTTGGAGTAAGAAGAGGGAAAACACAGTGGATTCTGAGTTTCCATATCCTGAAAGCAGCAGGCTAAGAATGAGCCTCAGTGGGTAAGAGTGAAAAGAGCAGTCAGGAGAATACAAACCACCAAATGTTTCAGTAACCTACCAGACAAAGGCAACAAATTCAGAAGCTGATTGCAAACTACTGGTGTAGATGCTGCTTTGTCAATACTGACATTTCTTTCCCTTTGGAAGAGGTAACTTTTGATGAGACTTAGGCTGAAGTACAGTAATGTTAAAAGACTGTAGTTCAAACGTGTGACTGTTTCTCTGTGTACACCATCGAACTTTCTCAGGCAGGATCTAAGCTTGGATCAAGTGTCCTCTTCTAGCATCACCTAAACCCATGGAATGCTATACTGGAAATGAGACAATATAACAATTTTCAGTATAGCTATAAACTTCAGAGTTTATTACAGCAAAGGCCTCTCTGTGCCACGAGGCATTATAGACACCCAGCAAGGACATGGCACTTCTGGGGATGAGGGAGAGGGCTGAAGAACTGGATGCTGGAATCACAGTGTGGGAGGGAAGAGCTGACCACAGCCTTTTCCTCTGAGAGGGCTTTTTCTTGATCAGCCAGAAAACTACCCTTCCCTGACCTTCCCTTATAGATTGTACAGATACCTGAATCAACTGGGCATGAAAAAAATCTGTGCTGCTTTGCTTGCAGGTGGCGTGCCACTGACGTTGAATTTGTGCCATTGAATGTAACCAGACTCCAGGGTTGAAAACAAGGGGAAAGCAATTAGACAGGTTTTACAGCCAGGTAGGTGAGCAATGACCGTATTGTAAAAATCCTGAATTTTGTGTGTACTTTCAGGTATATTCTATTCATTTTGTCAGGGGAAATATTATACTGCACCTGCAAATTAAACAAATCCTGAGGGGACATTACTGGAATATGGTTAGAGGACACAGAACTGTCTAGAATTATAGTCTTAAATGACTAAAGCAGATTTTCACAAATTAATTATGTAATCTGGTGTATTCCTACAGAATTCTGCATCCCCTAGATTTAAGGCTTCAGTGCTGCAGTCAGATTATTGCAGTGCTATCTACAAAAGCAGGCTTTCCCCCCATTGCTTGCTCCAGTGGGTGGTTCCAGATAAAATGCTTTCTGACTGCGGCTGTGGCTGGGGGAACACTAGTAAGTCATTGAGCAAAGTAATTGGTGACACACTGGATGACTGGTGAGGCAACTTTTCTAAATGTGTCCAAGGAATGTTTCTCCCTTGACACAATGAAAAGCCAAAGTGACAGTCAGTAAACTCTTCAGGACCTCGTTTGATTGACGAGAGTTGTGGCTTTTCGAATACCGCAAGCAGCGTGTTCGGTAATTTATGCAAGCAATGTTGGGTATCTTCAGGTGCTTTGTGGGTTCATGCAGCTAGATGAAGCTTCAACCACATGCCAGTTTCCAATTAGATAAAAAACAGCACAGAGGCTTCTGTGAAAATCAAAAGATTGCCTATCACAGTTCTGGTTTGTGTCCAATCTGCTTCATACAGCGTGCTTTTAGCAGCTACTGGCAACTGTGCATTTGGAAATAATTGCTCGCCAGTATATTTTTTTCTCCAGGTACATAAAATCTTTCATCTGAGAATCACAATGTTCCTGAACCTCCCTGTTATCTTTCTGAGTAAAGTATATACTGATGATGTTTGTTTCTAGGTTATTGGCATTTAGACCAAGACAGGTTAAATGCAAACATCACTGAGGAAAAGATCAAAGAGAAAACAGAAGCTGGTAGATTCTAGTCCCAGTCTAGTCCCACCTGACTTTAAGTTCACTTGCTTTTCTGGGGGATAGACTGAACACTGTCACAATAATTGTGATCCAGATTATTTCTAGAGTTAAATAAAACATATAGAATGTGTGAATGGACACTCACTTTTGCTCTCAGTGTAACTTAGCCATGTTATCTAACAGAGCTGTGCAGTTTGTCACAGAATTTCTCTATTGACCTGTCATGGACATGCCAGGCTTTGATGACATGATCAGGAATGCATGAGTGCTTGCTCTCTGCATGCCACCCTATACCATGGCTGCATTGAATTTCACATAGCATTACATTACATGGCTGTTTTGAAGACCAAATGGAGAGTCCTGCTTACCTCATCTCTCTCTCATGAGAAGAATCTGAAGCTTGGTGAAACAGCCCAGAGCAGCCTGGAGGAATGCTAAAATGGCTGTTAAGGGAAGTCATGAAGATGAGCTACCTCTGAGTCTCTGCAGACACATATTTCAGTGGTCAGTAACAAAAATGCTCTTGTGCATCCTGAACAATAAGAAAAGCCATGGTTACTTTCAACAAGTACATATTGGCAGATTTTTAAAGTTCTGTTAGTGAATCGTTAACTGAATATATAAGTATTTATAGAATTGTGTATGAAAGTATATAAGTTTTGCTTTGGATTTAAAATTTCTGGGAAATTATTTTACAGTCAGTGATCACTTAGCCCTCATGACACAAACACCAATCTGTCAAAGCTCTGCTGAATTCAGTGCTGTAATGAACAACCTTTCCCACTATATAGGAAGCTGGTACAGTACTCAAAACTGCTGTTGGATGATAGGACTTTTGGGATCCACACCAAACCGAATTATGCATAGATGTATTCTCACACATATATATAGTCATATACAGGCCAGAAGGTTTGTTGGCTGTTACTGGCTCTAAATGCTTTGTGCAGGCTTGATTTCCCTCTCGGTGACCTGCAGGGCAGTTGGAGCTGTAACAAGGGCTCGTGCCCTTTTTTTGTCGTCCTTGAAACCAACGTGGCATGACAAGCCACACAAGGAGACTGATTTTGAGAGCACAAGCAACCCCAGAGGGAAATGCATCTAATACTGAAACAGGAGTGACTCTAAAATCCACTCCCATTCCTCTTCCAGCCTGAAGCTCTTCACTCCAGACTTCAGGATTCGGGAACCCTCTCTTCAGCATATATCTGCACATATCTGCACATTCTGTAAAATCATCTTTTTAAAAACATTTAAGACATCTACTAGAAAAGGTTTGAGTGATTAAATATTAGGAGCAGAGGATGTCTGCAAATGTTAGGTTTGACCTAACAAAACCATTGTGAGAAAGAAAGTGCTAGCTCTGCATAAAATAACCATGGAGACTCGAGATGATGCAGGATGAAACAATGAAGGTCTGCACGTTTTATGCAGGTAGCCACGTATTTTTCTGTCCTTTCTACTGGAAAGACATTTCAAGTTCATATTCCCATATTTTCTGCAGCCACTGCAGATAAGCAGATAGCATCCAAGTAAGCAATCTGGAGCTTGATGAAATCTCATGGCAATGACGAGTACAGTTCACAAATGAATGATGACATTTTAGACCCTTCCTTCAATCCAGTGACTATCCTGTAAAAATCTTAGTCCCTAGTCAGCTGAAAAATTTCATAACATAACAGAACTGGTGTGAATGATTGTTTGGGTTTTGAAGGAAAATATTGTACCAGGTGCTATATAAACATGCAAGATGTTGCAGACCCTCTCTCTAATAGTGGTGATACTAAGGATGAAAAATATGTTGCATTTTACATGAAGCTTTTTATTACTTGAGCTATGAATTACAGCAAATGAAATGTTTTATGTTATATACTAAGATTTGTCCCCAAAATAAACTCCTTTAAATGAAAATGTCTAGACAAATACTTATTAAGGATTAACTCCATAGTTGAATATTTTGACCTGAAGTTTCTTCAAGAAACTCTTGATGTATTTGTATGTATATTTGTATTATTTTCTAGAGGGATAACACTGTTTCTGTGTTTTCCCTGCTTTATTTAATCCATCCTTTTCACGAAATTATTACCTAGATTACTAATATTTGTTAAAATCAAATTCTTGAATTAATGATTTTCTTAATTTTTAGCACATGCACTTTATTTGCATTATTTGCACCTTTTAAATCCTTCTATGTTGACCAGTAATTTTCTCAAAACTCATTTATCTTCCTAGAATCTCCCGAAACATCAGTGCTAACACGAAAATCTTATAGTAATTCTCAGATTCTAGTTCACTGAGAAGTCCAGCACCTTGTATGCATTTTGAGTACCAGTCACTCCCTGTTCTGCTTTCTGCTTCATTCAGCTCTCTGGTTGGATTGGACGGGGTAGTCTGTGAGAAAATGCACTTTGCAGTGCAGCTCTGTGGGTCTCAGTGCTTAACAGTTAATGTGCTCTTGTTTCCCTGTTTCTCCGTGTTTCAGTTTCTGTGTTGAGTCCATGAGATTCAAAAGAAAAAGCTGGAGTCTGGCTCTACAGATCATCACCCCTGGCCTTTTGTACCGTGATCTTCACTGGAGGAGAGCAGAATTATTACCTGTAGTGGGAGTTTTGGTTAGTTCAATAGATCATAACCACCAGTGGGTCTCTTACACACTTACATGTGTAAGTCTCCTCTCTTAGAAAGCTATACAGGTTATCTCATTTTTAATTTTTTCATCTTGAAGTGTTTAGTTCTTTCCTTAGCCTCCACTGAAATCGATGCATAGGCTGTGTCTCTTCTTCCATATTCAGGCTCTTCATTTTAATTTTCTATGCTTTTTATAAAAGGCCTAGGTCACTACTTCCATACACTGCACACTGTCATTTTAATCTATGAAGTTTGGACTAGGATACAAACAAATCAAAATTTGCTTATCTTGCACTGTCCATGAATGGCAATATAGAATGCTGAGTAGTGAAGGACCCAACCTGATATTTCTGCCCTCATTTTCTGTTATTCCTTGTTTTACGTTGGGATCTCCCTATCTCATGGGATAGACTAGTGAAGGTAAAAATTAACCAATTCTGCCTAAGCAATCACTTCATTTTCCATGGTTCCTAGTCCCTATTAAAATGGTCATCCCTATAGAATCTTGTCCCTAACTTGATTTTTTTTCTTGGTAACCCATCTATTAGGAATAGGCTTTTCCCCATTCCTCCTATTGTCTCCTCTGCCCTCTTCTTACTGCCCACTACCCAAACAAATATTCTTACAATATTCAAGAAAAGATAAAAGTTAGTATATATACACAAATATTTATACATAAAAAAGTAGAATCTATAAGAAGCAGCCCAAACCTGTGCTATCCTTCTATAAACTGTTCCTTCTCTTCCTGTAAGCTGTACAGTTCTGAATGACCTCAGGATTGTGAGTACAGGTTGTAGTTTTTCATTGATTCTTATGCACAGTTATCATACTGCAGGAGTAACAATGGGCTTTGTAGTTTTACAGTGATCCTACAAATGCATCTTAGAAACAGGGAATCATGTAAAGGAAGGATTCTAAGTCACCATCCCTAGCAGCCTTGTGAAATTAAAAAGCAGAATAATTTAGGCAATCATTGTATTATTTTCCCCAAGATTAATGCCCTTTCTCTTCCCTTATGCATAAGGAAACCCCTTCAAAAGGAGTCTCTCTGTATCTCTGTAATACAAATGACCTGAAACCCAAAGGCATTGTCAGAAGCTAATAGGAAATAGGGCATACTAATGTGCAAACAGATGCTGAGGCGACAGTAGCATCCCAGACCCCTAAATCTCATTGTACCTAAGAGATGTATGAACATTTGTGAGAGTATAAATTCACCAAGGTGCACAGAGGAGGTGACTGGTTCCGTTCCGTGCTACATCTGTGCTGTAACTGTAGGAACAGACTCTATAAATAGCCCAACCCAGTTACCTTTTTCAGAACCTTGGGAATGGCTAATCCCCAGAATAGATGAATTGCATAACTCTGTTCTCTGAACACGCTCGTTCACTCTGC